CTCTACAACTTACAGAGTTGTAAAATAGCTCAAAGATGATGAAGGGCGTGGATAACACAGAAAATTGCCCTAGACAGGATACCTGGTAATCCTTCCTGCCAATTTCGAGCTCTACCCCAAGTTTCCCTGACATACCTAAATAACCTACTAGAAGCTAATTGTCCATTTTAACCACTTCCAGAGAGACCTGCTGTCACCTCTTTTAAGTCTTTTTTATTCAAGCATGGGCCGTTTTGTTTGTTTTCATTACTAGTGCATCCCACAGTTCCCAGGCCTCCACCAGCCTGAAGGAGCATCCAGGAGTCGGTCACAGTGATGTCATCAGAGCATCCCGCCTGGTCTCTAGCCTTTCTGCAAACTCTGGAACCCTCAGGCCCTGCCGGTCTTGTCACGGGATCCAGGCTGCGGTGCTGTATAAGTCCCGCTGTGGACGGTTGGTCTCATCATGGCTAATTGAGGGCATCAGACCCCCTTCCAGCTTTTACCTTGGGGCTCCCAGGACACCATGGACCTCCTTGGCCCCAGTTACGCCCACTGTGAAGCTGCTCATTCTGCTCTACCAGCCACCTCGCTGACACACGGGAAGGAAGGAACACATGGAAGTGGGCGAGCTGTTGTTGACTGAGCTCTGAGTATATGCCAGGCTCTCAGGTGCTTGTCACTCTTTTACTGAAACTTAGAACATTTTTGTTTCTGCTTTGGGACAATAGTTAAAACTAAGGTATACCTCCCCTAAAAGAATCTCTAAAATATAAGACCATTATCCTATGTGCCCCAAAATAATAACATTTCATAAAATTAATAATTGCTTAATAATATGTCATAACTAGTCCAAATCTAAATTTTCCCAATTGTCCAAAAGATGTCCTTTCCCGTCGGTTGCTACAAACCAGGACCCAGTCTGGGACAGTGCAGGTCCTGTAAGTCTTAATCTGGAAACACATCCCTTTCTCCTTGACTCCTTGAAGAAGCAGGGCGAGTCATCCTATAAAATGTCACACTTTCTGGATCCGTCTGTTGCTTCCTCATGGTATTTATTTACCTTGCGTGTCTATCTCCTATCTTTCCTCAAAACAGGAATAGCTGTGGTCTCGGTGCAAGTTAAATATTTTGGGCCAGATGGACACCACCCATTGGGAGGCTGAGGGATGTGCCGGCCGCCCAGTGAAGCCAGCAGCCGTTTACAGAACGCGGGGCTCCATCAAGCCTTACGTTTCTTTTGATGAGATAACCCGCAGTCTTGCCCACCAACACACTTCAGAATCCTCAACAAATTAACATTTGGGAATACTTCCTTTTGAAAACAAACCGCCTGTACTGTCGTGAATTTTCATTAAAAATGGACTCTCAACTCACGGGCTTGCTTGTTTTCCTCCGGGCCGGTGATGGTCACTGCCAACAGGGAGCTGGCCACGGCGCAGCCCTGCGTGAAGGCTGCGGTGACGGGCTCCGTCTCCAGCGTGCGCCTCCCCAGTTTCTCCGCCGGGCCCCTCACAACCAGCCCTTCGTTCTCTCTGTGGTGGGTGCTTCTCTGAACCTCGCATGTTTTGTTTCCCCCAGGGAGCCCCACAGTGAGCACCACACACTTAGCAAATACTCTGGGACTCAGATCCTTTGTTGCATTTCCAGTTGGAGGATCTCAGGAATTAGCCATTGTGAAATGGATTTGCAAATTTGAATCAAGAAACTGAAATTCATAATCACATTTACCCCGAGGACACACGGAAAGTTGGCTTTAAGTGCTATCTTGAGTACTTCCTCTTCAGCAATTACCATTCAGGAAGTCAATAATGATACTATGATGCTGAGAAAAGTCATTGTAACGACCATTACAGTAACGCTCCCTTTAATGAGCTGCTCGAACCCGGCGTCAAGGGAGGTATTTCTGAAACCCAGAAGACTTGCAGATCTGTATAAGGAAAAGAAGTAACCTTTGGAAGTGAAGTTGAGAAATGTAGTCAGATGTATTAATTAAATGTTCATTATCAGTACAAAGCAGGACAACAGAGATGGGGCAAGTACATAAAGCCTTGGTAAGTCATTTTCCCCAAGGCAAAGCGGAGAAGATGAGCATACAAATCTCCACCAACTAAGGGATGTGTCTGTTGTTCTCACCTAAAACAAGGCAACCTCACCTCACAAAAGCAGATGTATGCTGCTGATCCACAGAAACATACTTATTTATACTAAAAAAAACCTTTCTTAGAAGAGGCAATAAATTTATTTGGTGAACGTATAGGGCAGATAAACAAGTGATATTCTAGGAAGGCAGGTTTATTTTGGCAAAATACATACAATATAGATGTGTCACTTTAACCGCTTCCAAGTGTACGGCTGTGGCACTGAGTACATTCACAGCGTTGTGCCGCCGTCACCAGCATTCGCATCCACAGCCTCCTCATCATCCGCGACTGAAACTCAGACACATTAAACGAGAACCCCTCCCCCCGCCCTCTCCCAGCCCCTGGGAACCACATACCACTTTCTGTCTGTACCATTTTGACTGCTACTCTAAGTACCTCATACAAGCAGAATCATAAAGATCTGTCCTTTCGCACCTGGCTCATCTCACTTAACACACTGTCTTTGAGTTTCATCTATGTGGTAGCATATGTCAGAATGTCATTCCTTTTTAAAGCTGAATACTACTTCATTTCATATATATCACATGTCATTTATCAGTTCATCCACAGATGGACATTTGGGTTGTGTCCGCCTTCTGACTCTTACGTGTGTGCTACTATGAACATGGATGTGCAAATACCTGTTCGAGCCCCTGCTTTTGGTTATTTGGGGGTATATGCACAGAAGTGGAATTGCTGGATCATGTAGTAATTTTTATGTTTAATTTTTCAAGAAATTGACATCCTCATCCTGAAATTGTTTTCCTCATTTTACATCCCCACAAGCAACACACAAGGGTTCCGATTTCTCCACATCCTTGTCAACACCGATTGTGCCCAGCTTTTTGGTAATGGCCACCCTAATGTGTACGGAGGAAAAAATTTTTAATAGCTAGGTCTGCACCGCAGTGGGACAAGCTGTCCCGGGACGCTGGGGCTGGTGGATGTGCTCCAGCAAAGACCAGACAGACTGACATGTTCACCAGGACAAACCGTCCTCTGCCCGAGTGTGTCTGATCACAGGGCAGGTAGGGGCTGAAACCCAGCCCCTACTCACAAACACCTTTTACATTCCAAAGCGCAAACCCAAGTATACAGCTGCCCCTTCTGGGAGGAAGCAATGACATTTAACTTTTCTAAAAGTATTATCAGCTTTCCAGGCCATATTCTCCAAGGGGCACCTTTTTCTTTCCTTTTTTTTTTAATTCAAATTAAGGCATTTGTGAAAGCTACTGGTTAGAACAGGTTAGCTAGAACAGGTTAATGATACCTCGTCCACCTGGACCAGATGACTAACTATTAAGGCCCCTTTCAATGGTGATACTCCATGGATCTCTGACGGTTTTACAAAATGCCCCAGCCCCAAATGCTCTGACACTCCATGCACTGACAGTGGAGTTTACCTTCTCTCACCTTGGACCTGGGATCTGTTTGACTATAGAATTCTGCAGAAGTGACACTGGACCAGTTTCCAGGCCCAGACCTTAGAAAACTGGCAGCTCCCACTTTCTGTCTCTTGGAACACTCCGTCTTGGAACCTGGCCACCCGCTATGAGGAAGCCTAAACCACTTTGTAGAGAGACACACATGATGAAAAACTAACACTCATCACCGAGTAAGCGAACTCTCTTGGAAGCAGAGCCTCCAGCCCCAGCAAAGATGAGCTGTCCCAGCCGAGACCCACCCAAATTGCAGACTGATGAGTAAAGTAAACGACTGTAGTGGTTTTTGGCCGCTACTGTTTCAGGGTGATTTTCTCTAGCTACAGTTGATAACCGACACAGCCCATGACATGAAGTGACAGTTCCCCAAGTGCACATGTCCACGACGGGCCTCACCCCAGCAGACCTCCAAGGCAGGGCCTTCCCTCTCTAAGGAGCCTTCAATTTTTCTTCACATGTCACTGGCAATGGCCTTGGTCCCGCATCTCCTCTCCCAGCCCCCAACTTAGGATAAAATAAATCTCTCTCATATAAGGAGGCTGAGTCCCACCTTCTACGCATCTGCACCCTCATTGTTTGGGTTTCTTGAGGAATCATGGGTTTCTCTGAGCCACACGCTGGACCCCTCCACGGACTCTTCTGGCGTGTGCTTTGCCCTGATCTAGTATTTTTTTTTGGGCTTTTTAAGTATTTTTTAAAGAAATGTTTTATTGATTATGCTATTACAGTTGTCCCATTTTCCTTCACTCCCCTTCACCCTGCACAGCCTCTCCCACCCACATTCCTCCCCTTCAGTTCATGTCCATGTGTCTTAAGTTCTTTAGTTTCTACACTTCCCATACTATTCTTGCCCTCCCCCTGTCTATCTTCTACCTACCATCTATGCTACTCATTCTCTGTACCTTTTCCCCCTCTGTCCTCCTCCCACTCCCCTGTTGCTAACCCTCCACGTGATCTCCATTTCTGTGGTTCTGTTCCTGTTCTCACTGTTTCCTTGCCGTGGTCTAGTATTATGCAGCCTTGGGGGGCCGGCTTCAAGGGACAAGGTAGAGGCAAAATGTACTTGATCCAGTAAACTGCTGTCCACGTTGGTTCTTTAACTTGCTCTGAGCTTAAGAGATTCACACAAGCCAAGCAAAGCAGTAGTGGGTGCAGAGAAGCCATGCCTGGGCCCTGGCCAGCTCTGTCTGCAGCGGCTCCTCACAGATCAAACCTGCTGCATTTCCTAGGACGGGACTGGGTTTCTCCCCAAGGCCTTCCTCGGTTCTCACGCTTGTCAGTTAAACTATCCTCCTTCGGGGATTACCGCCCCCTCCCGCCCCAACTTCATTTCAGGAAGGAAATAGTTAAAACAAGATTCCAGCCCTTCAGGGCCTGGGAGGGGGCGGTGGCAGCGTGTGCTTTATAGTGGTTGCCTCTAAAAAGGGCTGGAAGCTTAGGACATTCTTGCTGTCCTAGAGTGGAGGAGGTCTGGGAGATCTTGGAGGAGAAGGGGAGGTCGGACAGGCGGGGGGCGTGTGTTCCTCCGGAGTTTTCTTTTTCTCGCTAGCCCTTGCGCGCGCGCGCGCTCACAGAAGTCATCCCTGTGGACTGGCGATTGTGGACTGGAGGTGGAGAGGCTCCATCCCAGCTGGTGGCCGGAGGAGGCTGGCTGGCTGCCTGGGAGACCTCCCCACCGAAGCGGTTCCCAGGAAGTTTTGCAAAGTAGATGCAACAGTGCAGCCGGGGCCGCCGCCGCGCAGGAGCCCGGGACCCACGCCTCCCACTCTCGCCGGCTCCGCTTCCTCTCCTCCAGGCGCCCTGCGCGGACCAGGCAACCGTCTGCGCCCGCCTAGCTCCACGGTGGGTGCAACTCTTTCCTCTCGGGGCCGGGCAGGGCTGGGGGGAAAGCTTCCTGAGCCCCTGGCTGGGAGGAGAAGGAGCCGGCACCCTTCGTTTTTGCCCTGCGCCTTGGGCAACCCTCTACCCACGGGCTGGCACCCACCTGCCCAGGGGCGCGTGGCGGCCCGGGCGCCTTCCTAGAAGGGGTGCACTCCGGAAACGCCTGGGCTTCGGGGTCTGTTCAAAAGCCCCTCCGCCTCCCCAGGCGGGATTCGGATTTTCAGTTAAAGAATATATACAGTCGTCCCTGAGTATCTCTTTTCCCCAGGCATGCAAGAACTTTGTGGAACTTCACGCCCCTGTCGCAGGCTCCAAAGCCTACTTGTGAAGTGTGTCCCGCAGCTTTCCTTACTCGCCTGCTTCTCCTCCCTGCACACCCGCACTTACCAAGGGTAGCCACGGGCACCCGGTGTCAGGGACACATCTTTTGGAAAACGCCCAGTGCAGCTGGTTTGGAAACCTGCTTGTGGGTGTCTGGGCGTTTGGTTCTATGCTGTCCTTTGAAGGGCACTTGTTGCCTTTCACGTGCAGAAAACTAGGGCTGTTTCTAGATTATCAGCTTCTGTTTACACCATCCTAATGGCGCTCCCCGATAGAGCTGGCGGCTGAGGGGGTTGGGTAGGAGGCAGATTGGAGTCAGACTTTGTCAGTAAGGGGAGTTGCTGATTTATTACCCAGCAAGCAAAACCCACAGAAAACTTGCAAAGAGTGCCTAGTTTTTTGTTTCTCCTTTTGTGGATGCTTACGGCTTCCTCTGCCCCTCTCCCATGCCTTCTGTTTTAAGTGCTAAGAAACACCTCAACAACCATTTCAGGTAAACTAGGTGCTCTGAATTCAGGCCATTTGGGTAAAGCCAGAATTTCCAAATTATTGTACTAATTACAGATAGGCATCGATCTTAGGAATCAGAGATGTTAAATGGTTAATGTGTAAGCATTAGGATTCATTCCTCTTCCTTAATAACAGCTTTTGAACTTCAGCAAATTCTTACACGCCACATAGAAAAATGCTGAATCTATAAACCATGTCCTGGAGGTCCGAACCTGAGATGCTTCTCTAGAGCCGTGACTGATTATCCCAAGCACAGCATGACTTCGACCCGTGGAAATGAGCTACAGGCTGGTCCTGGGAGGAACATGCATTTGAAGAGGCTTCTTTTGTGGGGGTTTGCATTTTTCACCCAATGTATGGTATTCACATGCCTTTGCCAAGTACCCCTTACCTCTGCAGCTTAACATCTGTAGAGAGCTGACGGAGATGTCATCAGAAATGATTTCCGTGGTGGTGTCATTGTTGGCAGGGGAAGGAACACGGCTTTAATGATCACTAGCTCACATTTTGTTAAGAACCCACAGCCTTGGCCTCCTTAGCTCCTGCCGTAATCAGCTGACCGAGCGACCCAATAATCCAATGCTCAAAGACTAAAGTTGTCCATTTCATGGGTGGCGGGATACCCCCATGGCCAGGTTAGTTCACCAGATAGCCTTCCAACAGACTCTAAGGGGCAAAGAGACATTCCATTTCTGGAAGAAGCCTTCCCTCTCTTAGTTGTAAGACAGCTATTGCTGAGGTGTCCATTCCGATTGGGAAACTGGGAGGCTTTAGTCACTAAACAGCACAAGATCCACTGAAGTGTTTTTCCTGTCCCATCTCTGATCTGGGGAGGAGGGTGCCAGTGCGCTGTGTTCTCGGAGTCCTGGTCCCCACCGCCGAATGGAGGTAGTGCCTGTCAGTATTTGGTCAGATTTCACTCCAAACTGTAAGAAGCTAGAAAAAAACCGCAAACCACTTACAAATCCAAGTAGATCTGATATGTACATAGTTGCCCCTAGCTTAGAAAACTGATGTTTTTATCATTTATTTTTACAAGATCAGGCTGAGTCAAGTCCTATAAGCGAAGTAAAGTGAGGTATTGTATCTTTCATGCTGCACCCTGGCCATGAAAACTTGACTAAACTCCCTAGAGACTCGGTCTCCTCATGAGTGAAATGGGGATAGTGCCCCTGCTGACCTATGGTTGTCAAGTTCAAGTCAGGGGGCAGATATATGCATAACAGAACGTATTACTACTATAAATAAAATGTTATTATTTCTGGTTCCTAGGGAAAGTCTCAGGAGAAGGCCCAAGTATGTAGTGTTTGCACCTTATAGTTACTTTGGACCTACTACACAAGCTGAATAAATTTTATTTCATCCACATATTGACTAAAGCTAAGCTTTACTGATAACTATCAAAGATAACTCAAAATTCCTAAAAGTGGTATCTTATTTCACCCACATATTGAGTAAACCTAAGCTTTATTGATAACTGGCAAAGACCACTGTCCAAGGCCTAAAACTGGTTAATGCCAACCATGAATGGATTAAGAGAAGAGACACAATTTTTTAAAATTCCATTATATGTCATAGACACACACATCACTGCATAAATGAGCTTACTTTATTTAAAGATTCATAAAAACTCACAAAAAAGAAAACATAAAACTACTTCAATGGGAGGTGCCACCAACCCATTTTCCCAACATCTCGTGTCTAAGTGTTAAAGTAGAAACCTAGACTTCTTGGGCAAGAAGGACCACTTGCTCTCTGCCAGTGACGAAAACAAGCAAACCAACACACAAATGGAAACTTCATTAAACCATTTCAGGTGCTAAGGAAAGCACGAGAATGAGAGACAGTGTAGTCTAGTGGTTAAGAGCTGAGGCTCGAAGTTGGATTGACTTGCCCTAGAATCCCAGCACTGCTGCCCAGAACCTGCGCCTTTGACGGGCATCCTGACATTGCTGAGCCTCTGTTCCCGTCTTTATAACAGACCTGTGTCTGCTTCACAGGCCGTGGTCTAGATCAGATGGCATCGTGCGTGTGCAGTGCTCATCACCGTGACGAGGCACAGGTCCCCTAGAAAACCAAATGGCGTGCCTGGCCTGGGAAGGCCCATTAGTCCCAGTTTCACTCATTGGCAAATAATTATGATAATAATTTCTGAGGAATGGAAAAGCCAGAAACTACTATCAGAATATGTAGGTCATACAGATAAATCATCAAAGTGTTCAATAAAATAAATATTTTGTCTTTATCAGTTATGTCACATTTAATTAAAACTAAAATTATGAGCCCTGGCTGGTGTGGCTCAGTGCATTGAGCACCGGCCTGCAAACCAAAGGGTCGCCAGTTGGATTCCCAGTCAGGGCACATGCCTGGGTTGCAGGCCAGGTCCCCAGTAGGGGGCGCGCAAGAGGCAACCACACACTGATGTTTCTCTTTCTCCTTCCCTTCCCCCTCTCTAAAAATAAGTAAATAAATAAAATCTTTAAAAAAAAAACAACTAAAATTGTTATGTGTATTGATGGTGTTAACGAGAGTTCTGACAGTAAACTAACACTTTGTGACACTTTACATGGCTAACTATGCTGCATTTTACCCCCATGTTAATAATTTACCATGTGTAAAACAGCACACATTTTGGAATATTGGGTTCTTAATTATAGAATTGGTAATTTTATGCTCTAACACTATGTAACTTACTCAGCATAGAATGCCTTTTCTCTTCCACTAATCAAATTTATCCCAATGCGCGAAGATTTTTTAGTTCACATTCTTATCAGCCTAGGTATAATGAATAGAAAACAGTAAGATACTCCTAAATCTACTACTAAAACAAAAACCTGACACATCCTCATGCATTTTATAACCTAGATATAAGTACAGCAGTGGACAGAGATGAGAGATGAGAGAGATGGACAGACGATTTGCCCTCAGAGAGCTTTGGTCCCTTCTGGTTTGCTCTGCTTTGGGGTAAGCTGACACAGATACAGAAGTAGATACACAAAAGTTCACCAACTTTGATAAGTGTTTCTAAATGCACGCTCATATGGCAGCTGTCACAGCACAATCTAACAAAATTGTTTCAAATAAAGTTAAAGAAAACTAAGTGCAACTAGAGCCATCGTACAGAAGAAAACCAAACGAACTTTTGGCCAACCCAATATCTAACCATTACCCAATACCTGCTTTTTGACTAGAGTAATGCGTAATCATTGACTACCATCTTACTGGCAGCTGAATTCTGTCACCAAAATTATTTTTTCTCCTGTTTTTTAGGTGGAAAAAAAAGTGTGTGTGAAAGCAGCACAGTAAGAGGCATTTCCTCAGATTTGCATCAAGATGGAAACGTTTTGCTTCAGGGTGTCCTTTTGGGTGGCGCTGGTCGGATGTGTGATTAGCGGTCATTCTGAGAGCTACAACGCAAATCTAAGCACTCATGCAGAAGATGTTACCACTTTTCACGGGACAGAGCTCAGCTTCCCGGTGACCACGCATCGACCCTCTAAGCTGGCCCTACCCAGCAATGGCTCGATGCCCAACTACTGCCCACAGCAGACGAAGATTACTTCAGCTTTCAAGTACATTACCACCGTGATATCTTGTACTATTTTCATCGTGGGAATGGTGGGGAATGCAACTCTGCTCAGGATCATTTACCAGAACAAGTGCATGAGGAATGGCCCCAACGCGCTGATAGCCAGCCTTGCCCTCGGAGACCTTATCTATGTGGTCATTGATCTCCCCATCAATGTATTTAAGGTAGGAAGTCACCACAACTATTATTTGCGGGTTTGAACCTATGCTCTGATTCCATAGTAAGAGAGTTGCTGCAGACTCTTCTGACCTGAATTTTATAATCTATTTCTTACTGAGAGCAGTTTCTGTGATCTTACAGCTAGCGGCATTTTAAATTTTTATTATTCGTTAAATGTTACACTTCTTTTCTAACTTAATTGTTAACCAAATAGTATTTTGGGAATGACTCTTCAAAGGTGTCTTTCATGCACGGGATTCTCATGCCATCCCTGAGCTTGCTGAGTAGCTGGACAATCCCGAGGAGATCACTTGATTTTTCTGAGACTCGATTTTCAAAGAGAGACCTTCTGAGCCCCAAAAGTACTTAAAATAAATGCATTCAGTTGCAGTTACTTTTCTTACGTGATACTGTTCAGAAGCCCGATATCCACAGTGTGGCTTGAAAGGAAAAGCACCTATTTCACTCGGGCGGCCTGGATTGGTGGGTGGAGCCACAGCACACACAGGCTTACCCCAGCGCCGTGGCGCGTGAGAGATAGCGGGCCCACGTGACAGTGGGCCGGGGTAGATCTCAGTGAGCAGAATCACCAAAACCATTCACAGCAGGCATCCGTGCACGGTTGCTGCCTCTGCTTCTCCAGTTTACATTTAGAGAGTGCCCACTGTGTGTTGTCCCCTGCCCTCCCCCCCACCAAGACGGGCAATAGGGTCCAAAAAGGCAAATTAGACAAAGTTAGTGCCTGGGTGAGAGAGGGAGATAACTAATTCACTGTTACTGTGGTCACCTTGTTTCCAGGGCTATTTAGCACCAAAATGAACTGCAGCCAGAAGGAACTGGGGGAGTCCATATTTGGTCTTGTGATCGTGAGGGGAAATTGCTGCAAGAATTCAAATGAACCAAAATTCAAATAAAACCGTGATCTATGCCAGATACTACAGCATGTCTTCATTCTAAGCCCAGGAAAAGCACTTTCCTTGGCCTTGAGTTCTTCTTCTATGTACTATCCATGCAAACAAAACTATTCTGCACAATCCTATTTTGAAATAGGACTTTAAATGGCAAGTGTTGTCAACTGAAGACATAACTTTTAAGGAGAACAGTAGCCTTTTGGTTTCCAGCAGATACACTTCAACAGTGGCAAAATATCCTAGTGTACCAGAAAAAGCAGTGGTCAGACAGTAAAGATGTAAGCAATGGTTACAATTTTCAAAACTACAAATAAAAAAAAACATTGCAAATTATCCAGTACACTGTGAAACTGAGGAAATTAGACAAGTGACTTTTTTAAAAAATCACATATCATCTCTTTCCACAGAATAGAATGAATACATGTTTTCTACTTGAAATTAAAATGGAATTTTTGAACCAAACAATGAGGCAAAATGAAAATGTGTAATTAATTTAAAATGTTTAATGTATGCTACGGAACTTTATTTTTTTTCCTTTAAAAGGTAATTTTCTCTTTATGAAGTGTTATGTGTATTCAACACCTGACTTTCTCGTGACTTCCTTAATAATAGATTTGAAAATGTTGTTATGACTCACTCAAAATTTGACTTCTCAGCAGTCACTGTGAGGGTGGTTAAACAGTGATTATTCGTGCTTTGACACCAGTTAACCAACCATTCATGGCTCACAAGAGTAATTAACCATCTTTGAATTAATAATCCCCATTGGAACATATGCAGAGGAGCTTCTTGGCAAATCAGTATCTGCAACTGCTGGGAGGGTGACCTGCGTGTCACTTTTAGGTGCCACCTGCCGATTACAGAACCAAACTTCATTTCTACTGCACAGCAACATTTTTAAGTCAGATCATCTGGACTATCTCCAAATTTGTTGCAAATCCCAAAAGACAAAAACCTTTATTTTTTAAAAAAACCTTTATTTTAAATCAATATAGTAATAGATAAAAAAAATAATGCATTCTTATTTGGCTATATGGTTCTTACCTCTTGGAAAGCCAATACAGTCAGACTTCTATATCCACAGGTCCTGCCTAGGCAGATTCAACTGATTACAAATACAAAATATTCAGAAAAAAGCTATGTCGTTGCTGACATGACTGTGTGTTTAGGTGTGCAGTGGTCATGTCTGTACTGAACATGTACAGGCTTCTTCTTCTTGTCATTATTCCCTGGGACACAATATGGCAGAATGGCTACTTGCCTGCATTTACATTGTGCTAGGTGTTATGAGTGACCTAGATGTGACTTAAAATGCACAGAAAGGTGCACCTAGGTTATATGCAAATACTGTGCCATTTTATATAAGGGACTTGAGCACCCAAAGATGTGATTATTCGCAGGGGTCCTAGAACCAATCCCCCACAGATACCGAGGGGTGACTGTACTGTAATGCCTACTATAGTTTTAGATAATATGGACAGTGTGATTGTGGTATTGTTACATCACAGGTGTACATCTGTGTAATTCCTGGTTTTCTAAAACTTATGTAATGAGTCATTTAACCAACATTACTTTTAGAAAGTAGGCCTTTTGGTTTCAACAAAAACTGCTGTTTAGTTGTTTCTATCTTTTCCCAGAGGGAAAAGAGAAAAGCAGTAGAGGGAGCTAAAAAGGCACCCAGTACTTGGGGGCTACTTCTACTTCTCTCGGTCCTCTCCCTAGGTTAGGAGATGGCGCTGCTTCTCTGACTTCAGTCCAGGGTAGTCAAGAGAAACCCTTCCAAGCACTGTGGGCACCAGGCCCTCACGCCTTTTCTCCACAGCTGCCTCCTTCTGTGAGACTCTGATGCTTTAGGGTCTCACATCCCAGACCTGCGATTCCTCTCCAACCATGTCAAGCTACCTCTTTACTTCAGGGCAAAGTAGCAGCTGCCCACCTCATTATACTAGTATGTTTAGGTATCCATGAAATGAAAATAATGTGTAAACTTGGAGAACATGCTATTAAAAGGATGGATAGAGCTTCTTTATCACACCCCCCCCCATTAGAAGAATTAGCTTGAAAAAAGATGGGGAAGTATCTGCCATGCTCTCCAAAGAATGATGAGCTTTCAAACCACACAGGTTGTTGTGTTTAACAATTCTGTCAATTGCTTGTATACTCAGTTGTAAGGTCTCCAAGCAGAGAACCTTACATTCAGTCATAGCAGAGTCAGCATGAGTGGGAGGGGACAGTAGGAAGGCTGCATCTTTGGGCAAGGTAAACTCGCTGACTGCGCTGCAGTAACACTGCAAGTGATAGAGCATTCCCTCTGTTCACATTTTCTTTCCCTTCTCTCACTTTGAAAGAAATTGTACCGAAAGTGTTTCGTATGTGAATGCGACGTAAAACACAACTGACAAGCAAAGTCGTTGTGCTGTTATTATCCCGTTCAGCTGTTGCAGGCCAGCTCTGGATGTTCTGCGGGCATGGCAGAGGGGTCACTCCACACAGTTCCAAAAGTTTCCAGAAGATATCTATATCTTCGGGGTTTCTTCCCTCTACTCTTGTATTGTACTTTGCTTCTATTTATTGAGTGTCCCTCTGCCCAAAAACACCCAGGAGCTCCCATGGTGAGCACCCAAGGCCCTGCCCACTCTGGACATACTCCAACTACTTAACCACTTCCCAGGGTGCATGCTCAGCTCTTGTGGAACGCCATCACTGCCCCGAAGCACAGTGCTGCACCCCAAGCAACATTCCCAGGGAGGCTGGATGCAGCCACGGAATTGCTGCTGCTGAGACATGTGCAGAGCCTGCACTGAGCCAGATCTGGAGTTACATGTGCTGCATCGAGAAAAAAAATAACCCCAAAAATGGAAAGAAGCCCCTCTGACCCTTGCTTAAACTCACACATACCCAGACACATTACATTCAGTGGTGACAAAATCAGACACTCTGTGGGAAAATGCAAAGCAGGAGGAACATAAGAAAGCAAATGAATGCCAGTTACCTTCCTGGTTTTCAAGCATAAAAGGGCCTTGCAAATGGGGATATTGAGGAAAACCTGTTACTAAGTTTATCGAAGAATCACTCTAATTTTTAATTGTTCAAAAAATACTATCATTAATTTCAAGAGAAGACTGAAAAGAACAAGAGGGAGGAAGGGAAATGAGTTAGCAGCCCTTTTCAAATGCCCACACTTAATCTAAACAGATGATGGATTCAATTGGTCAAGAAATTACATTATCTGATATCCTGAATTTTCAAGAAATGCAAAAACTTAGCCATGGAAATTAATCTATATATAAAATATGTGCATTCGTTACCAAGCAATTAAAACACTGTGTCTGTTTTTAGGGACCAAAAATAACCCCCAATTACTTAATGACAATATAGATTAGAAGTCTACAACTTAATAACTGTATCTTTAATGGTTCATAAGATTTTGTTTATGTCATGGAGTGTCGTCCCCAGGGAGTTAGGTTATAATTTTGAACAGAGTAGAACCCTAGAAGTGATGTTAATGCGTGGGTGGGCCAGAGCTGGGTACCACGTGCTTTCAGGATAACACCTCCTCCATATGTGGACGGAGATACGGGGCCTAGTGAATGAAAACAGGAATGTGGGGAAGTACATGTGAGAGAAGTAGAGTGGAGGAGACCAAATGATGGCCATGGGGAGAAGGGGGGCGTTGAGTCTGATGACTTGACGTAGGACTCTCTGACGTGAATAGCGGGGAGTTGGAACTGGTGACGTCAGAGATGACACTGTAGGTGAACCATGTCTTCACAGAACAGGTGGGGTGCAGTGGATCTGGGGAAACAAGCTAAAGAGCCAGTTGAGGGTGTTCAGTCACGACTGTTGATTACTACTTGGGTCCACTCTAAGCAACCACCTCTTGTTGAGGACAACAGTGAAAAATAAACAAATCCAATTTCTGCATGAAATGATTGGGAATATTCTGCAGTGGAAAGTCAAGGCTCACAGTATGTTGCCCTAGCAGACGGAAACCCCAGGTGTTCATGCATAGCAGTTACACTACTAGGACCTGTCCTGCTGGGGCAGCCGTGCAAAAGTTGCTTCTCCACACCTCAAGGCGATTCACGTCTCAA